TCTAATTTTCTCGAGCTTTGAGAAGGTATTGTGGACCTTTGTCTTTGGACCTACTTTCTCTAATCTGCGTACCACGAACCGAGATGAGTGGGTCAGCACGATACGTTGAGCCTGAAGCCAGAGTTGTTCTAACCTGGCTTAGATCACCATGATAACTTATGCTGCACGCCTAACCTGCTCTGGAGCAGCTTACGTTCAGGGGTTTGTATTAAAACAGGCTATAAATCACAAATCAGCTCTTTTGGAAACAGCATCGCCGTTCTTCGCAGAACCCCGTGGACCTCGATGACAGAACTCTTGAGAGGTTCTGTTCAGAGCGACAGAATGTTTAGAGAATAGATCTGTTGTCTTCATCGGACAATATTCTCTATTCGCGACACAGATCCTCAAGTGAGGGAATACTTTATACATGCAAACGTGTAGAGCCGTTCCCTCAGTCATGCCACCAAACAAAGCCATGCGATTAGAGGAGCGCTGCAGAGACTTAAACCCGTCTAGCTGGTGATGTGGAACTTCAGAGCCAGAATATTGTTTTACTTTATTTGTGAGGCCTAAGGTCATAAGGACACATAATGCATCAAGTTTTTAAATGTTTAAGATGGGATGTTACTGGTATTGTACAACCTTTAACCTCTGTTAGGAAACCAATAGCTTCTTTATATGAGTTGAGTCCAATAAACCTAAACAGGCACCGTGAACTTCTACAAACAGAAACAATGTAGGCAGCTACAAGGGTTCACACATGTAAAAACATTGTCCTTCTTAAGATAGTAAACCTTCCTAAGTGCTTCGGCAACAATATCCTCTCGAAGCTGATAAAGAAATGCAAAGTCCAGTTTTCTTTACAATATTGGTAGTAACACTTGTGGGCTCTGGGAAAAATGTTGGACAACTGTTCTTCAATCTTTGCAAAATAAATGAACAGATATATGTTTTTTCTTTCTTTTTCGTGATTTATGGAATTGTAATGTATATATAATATGTGTTAGACTGCACTAAACACTTGATGAACCATGATTGAGACGTTTCCATAGCGGTGCAGCTCTAAAAGAAGCCTTTCTTAAACAATTGCAGGTAACATGTATTCATGGTTCACTCTGTTATTTAACAGTTTGACGTTTGCTTGCGTATGAAATGCTGAGTAATTCCTTCAGCAATTACACCCTTGACCTTTTACAGTCTGGCCTTTCCCCAGGACCAAGTTGTCTCAGTTTTTTTGTGGCTGCTAGCTTTGACATTTAATCCTGTTTAACTCAAGGACACATCGAACTACATTATGTGCAGCCCGTCTAACCCCAAGTTTCTGCACTTGATGAGTGATCGGTGAGAGTGAGACACTTTTACTTCCAGCCACCACTCAAAGCCCTTCAACGCTTCTGTTTTTCACTCCGCAAATGATGCTTGAAACAAGAACAAGCTGTGTTGGTCATTTTTACAGAGGGACACTTTCGCTAGTAGTGTGTCACCTTCAACAGCAATCAACAATCAGACAGGTGAGGAGAGCCCTCACTTCTTCTTCTGCCAGCCTCTTGTCAGACCTGTCCGTCACTCTGCCAACAGAGCGCACAACAAACCGTGACCTCGCGTCACCTCGCCGACCATCTAGCCTCGGATCGAGCCGTCCAATCACGGCTGTACGACGCGTACGACCCAGTGTCTGAACTTGAAATAAACTTCATGTCGACAACCCATTGCCAACAAAATGTGTTTGCTTGAGGTTAAAAGGTATTTCATGGAGTTTGTCAAATGACAAATGTTAGCTGCTTTAATTCTAAGATTTTAATATAAATGCTTCTATGATAATAATTTACTCGCAACATATCGCCAATTTAACCACGGTTATATGAGAGAATAGCACCGCCCCTTTTCTCTTTGTTATCTGTTTGAGCTTACATCTATTTGTTTTCACCATGAGCATCAACTGGAGGACACGTGACCTGATACTTTGTATGGATGAGCTTGACATCACTTAATCTGACGGACATAACGTTAGAGCAACGAGGACAATCTGTCGGAGACGAGGCGGAGATGTGCGGTGGTAAAAGCACAACACTAAACCACCAACACGTTGTTGTTGATGGTGTCTGTCTGACATATAAAGCTCAGAATAGACAGACGCAGCCAAACAAGCTTCTCCTTTATTTTCTACGACGCTTTTCAGAAAAAGTTTGTTTTCAACTTGAAGCACTCCGCACAAAAAAGACCGAGCGCTCAGAAAAAATCGAGGTTGCAGTGCAGCGCCTTTTCTCTTCGCATTGGGAACAAGTTTTAAAAAGATGCTGGCGCTCAGATAAAGATGCTTTTATGTAGCACGTTATTGTGTCATTTATGTGTGATCCTGGCAGACGCTGACTGATGAGCACCAGTCAATGATGGAGGTGTTTTAGGTGGATGTTTGCTGTTTGGCAGCAGAGTTTGGTGGCATTTCTAGGAAACCTTTAAGTGGTGGTTGAAAGAGTCGAAGGAGTGCATTGTGGGACACCGCAGCTCATATGATAGAGGCTGATGGGATGGTCAATCATCCTGACACCTCTGTATTGTGCTGTTGGCGCTGTGTGTGTGTGTGTTTGTGTGTGTGTGCATGCATATACAGGTTTGTTCAAAAGAATGACTGAGAAAGCAAAATACACGTGTGTGTGTGTTTTCTGCATGTGTGGGTGTGTGTTCTTGAGACAATGACACAATGATGGAGAGACCCAGGCACGAGTGTTAGTGCGTTTGTGTGGATATGGTGTGTGGGTGTAGATGACTGTGTGTGTGTGTGTGTCTGTGTGTGTGTGTGTGTGTGTGCGCATTGAGGGCCCTTAGGAGGAGGAAGGTGTGACCTGCACTCAGAACAATCAAACCCAACTCGCACACACAATGAATCTTTGCTGGTGCCTGTGAGTGTGTGTGTGTGTGTGTGTGTGTGTGTGTGTGTGTGTGTGTGTGTGAGAGAGAGTTACAGGTATGCTCTGCATCATTTGTTTTCACTCTGCAGTCGATGTGGCGACATGTGTGTGTGTGTGTGTGTGTGTGTTTTATTGTTTTTATTTCCTGTGATGTGCTGCACAGGCTGTGGATTAGATTTCACTATTGATGTGTTCGTGCTTCCAACTTTATTTCAGCAGTTTGAGTTTCTGTCCTCTTTGAAACAACAGTCCTCTCTTCAGCCATGTTCATCCTGTCACAATTGAAAGCGCCCTCTGGCAGTAAACGTAAACTAGAAATCGTCTCTATTTCTAATTAATTAACAAAAGTTTTTATTGGAACTAAGTAGTTTTGTTGCCTAAAGCTAACTAACTTGTTTCCTGTGAAGACAGAAGTTTGTTTTGAAAAGACCGTTTGCATCTAACAAGTGAAGAATTGACACTGTGTGGCTGACTTTCTTAGGAAAACGCACAAAACTGAGGAGTAACTTTCTAAGTTAATATATGAACCGTTCAATGAGGATACGTGGCATTGCCACAATGGCTACAAGTTTTCAACTAACTCCAATGTAAACCCATCTGCTTCATTAGTAGATGCAGAGCTATACAAGGTGGGAGGGAGAGGTGGTTTTTTGGGGGGTAAAACAAATACAGAACTTTTGGCGGCCGTTTGTGCCCATGTGAAGCCAAGAGTAGTGACTTTTACTGAAGGCGCTCTGCCACTGTTTCACAACGAGCCACGTGTTACAAAGTTAACCGGCAAGACTTCACGATGTTAACCATTCATGGGAACCTTCAGCATCAAGATGCTGCACAAAAGGCTGCCTCCTAGTGACGCCAGAAGGCTTCTGCCGAGGCAGCAAAATATGACGAGTAGGGTTGAGATCACGTTGGACCTGCAGTCTGAAATATTATGCAACAATTATGTTTTTTTGGGTATATATATATATATATATATATATATATATATATATATACAGTATATGAAAGCAGAGGGAGTTTGTATGTGTGTGTGTGTGTGTGTGTGAATAATTAACAACCATTTATTATTGTATAACTTGTAAACACAGGTCCAATATAATTAAGTGATGAGGTATTTAAATCTGTATCCACACACTCCAATTAAGTCTCGTTGTAGTAGAATCCTTATTGTCGACATAATAAAACACTTGTGCTGCAGGCCTGTAAACATAAACACCATTATGCTAACTACTCCGTACTATTTTAAGGGCATGTAAGACACACACACACACCCACATACAACCTTCTAACCTCCTATCTTTGTGAGGACATAATGCATTGCCGAGCCCCTTACCCTAAACGTAACCATCAAAACTAAATGCTGCACGCTAACCCTTACTCTAACCCAAAACTGTGTTCGAACATGAACCTTAAAACCATGTCTGAACCATCAAACAGGCCTTTTAAAGGTCCACACCCAGAGACCGGACAAAATGTCTTCACTCTGAGGGTTTTAAACTCAAATTGGTCCTCGCAAAAAAAAAGAAAAACAGCTGTACAAGTTAACATGCACACAGAACAGGCTGTGTATCGCTCACAGTCTTTATACAGATACTCCTGTACGGTCATGTGAAGCAGAGACAGAGTCTCAGTCAGAATCACTAACAGGAAAACAGATTCCACCAGTGAAATGATCCAACAGAGTGACCTGAACAATGTGTTCTTCCTCTGATGCCGTTGCTCCTGGGTGTAATGTTTTCACATGAGCGCTGCATAACAACACCGCCTGTCAAAAAACCCACTGAAACAAATCTCCTCAAGGAAACAACCCACGAAGACCCATGACTGACAACTCTGGTGTTTATTCATGACAAATGTGTAAATCTTGAAAGACTGGAACTATCATCTATATGAAGAGAAAAACAAAATGCTCTACAATAACCCTACAGTATTGTTGTGCAGTTGTTTAGTGTATTTTATATATATCTCTGTGTCCTATTGGTGTATTTTTGTCTCGTGTACCCGGAGGGGACTGTAACTTTGTTGATGATGCTTTCATTTTCCAGGTCTCATAGATTCATAAATGATGAAAATGGTATTTCTCTCTATTTATTTATTTTTTTGTCACAGATCCCAAAGAGAAGCCTCGATCTATCCGTCCGTCCCTTTTCTCCTTGTCCCGGGGTCGGGTCGCGGGACAGCAGGACATTCCAGACGTCCCTCTGTCCAGCAGCACTGCGGGTAAGAGTGAAGATGTAACGTGGGTGAAGTGGCCCTTTATATTCAGCTGTTGTTGTATTGTAAATTACTGTTATATCCTATAATAATACATTCAAAATATCAAAATATCCAGTTCTCCCACTCTGCACTGCCTCTTGTCTCCATGGTTACCATGTCAGGGGACGTCAACTTGAACGCCAGTAAAATGTCGAACAGTTTGACCGAAGAGATCGATGTTCGCTTTACTTTTCCCCCTCAGTCGTCTGCGCCTCCGTCTTTCTTCAGTCACTTCCTTCTTCCCTCCCTCGTTGCTAACGTTCTCCTCTTTTAAATCCATCCCTCCTCCTTCTGTTATCTTAGAAAGACACTCCAGTGTGTGTGTGTGTGTGTGTGTGTGTGTGTGTGTGTGTGTGTCTGTGCACACAGCTACTGTATGCATTTACTTTACCCAAATTTACATTTTGGCATATAAACCGGATTTATAAATATTTATAAAAGCAACTATGCAAGAATACGTTGTGTGTGTGCGTGTGTGCGTGCAAAGGGAGTGTCACGACTTTGCATCCAACTGCTTCATTAAAGTATTTCGTCAGGCCTTTATTTAAGCAAAGCTGTGCGACGGCATGGAGCTAATCCTATTTAATCACACCCCACGTGTGTGTGTGTGTGTGTGTGTGTGTGTGTGTGTGTGTGTGTGTGTGTGTGTGAGAGTGTTACTTTGTGCGTGTTATATAATAATAATAATACATTTTATTTATATAGCACTTTAATAAAAGACACTTTACATGGTAAAAACAGAAACAATAAAAGCATTTATAATAAGAACAAAATCGATGACATCATACCAGTAAGGAACAACACAAAAAGAAAGAAAGAAAACATGCATAACTGATTTTACAGGTTAAAAGCAGATTGAAATAGGTGAGTTTTAAGTGCAGTTTTGAAAGTGGCGAGTGACGGAGAATGTCTGAGGTGTTGGGGGAGGGAGTTCCAGAGGGAGGGGGCAGCAATGGAGACGGCCCTGTCCCCCCAGGTCCGATGCTTGGACAGAGGAGGGGGGGTAAGGAGGGGGGGTAAGGAGGTTGGTGTCGGCCAATAATACTGACGCTTGGTCTGTGGCCCTACGCTTCAAACATTGACGCTCCAGGTCCCCCCTCTAGCATCAGTTCTGGACATGTCAGGGACGGAGAGTCAGTTTCTGCTCGATACATGCAGAGTGTCTTTTTAAATATAAAGTTCTGCGTTCAAAGGAAACGTCCACCCAACACCAGGCGTCCCATCTGGGAGCTGTCTGTGTTTTTGTCATTGAACTTTAACTCTTCCACAGTGTGTTTTCCAGTTATTTGTGACATTCTGGTCGCCCAGAAATGTCTTATTCAGCGTTCAGTTGTACTTAGCTCCAACCTCTCAAGTCACTTCTGGTCACCAAACAAAAACAAGATGGCGACGGCCAAAAACCAAGATGGCTTTACATGCATACAGTCTCTTTTCAAAATAAACTTTACTGAGTTTTAACCCAACAAAACTAGATGGTTAGGCTTGGGATAAAATAGTACATTTGTTATGTAAAATAACCCTTGTTACGTAACTGGCGATAACAAAGTACAGAATCTGTGTAACAAAACTAGAGTGAAATAAGTCACCATCCAACCTCCCCTCCCTCACACTCTTTACGAGGACTTTCTTGTTCTTTATACTACGTGAGTTCCTCTGATACGAATGGGTTTGCATTGGAGTTAGTAAGGAGCCCATGTGGACACGTAAGGGTGCCTCAGTATAGAACGCCGAGGCCCACTGACAAAGCGGCCATATTGGACAAGTTGGGAGGAAGAACAGGTCGCGCATTACAAGATGCAATCTGTTTGTGTGTTCTGTTGTCTATTTAAAACAAAGCCTGTCCATGTTATTAATAACCACATTAGAACTAAAACAGATAGAACTCTGAGGACGTGTGTTTCTGAATGCCGACACGTCGTTGACGACAGCGATGAGATCTGCGACGTGTCACACATGTCAGGCATGTTTAACATAAACACACATGCGGCGGCATCACGGGCACGGCGGGGTGCAAGCTTCTCACAGCATACGTCTGCTGTGTTCTCTCACATTTTATCTACAACTTAACTGCAGATGTGATGGAATACATTTTCCACACATCACTTGTCCCTTATTTGGAGACGAAATGTGTTTCTCCTGACGCGTCCCTTTGAAAACAAATATGTGAGCATATAGTCACAGCATATAGCATAGTTAATATAGCATATAGCATAGTTAATATAGCATATAGCATAGTTAATAGAGCATATAGCATAGTTAATATAGCATATAGCATAGTTAGTATAGCATATAGCATAGTAGTCACAGCATATAGCATAGTTAATATAGCATAGTTAATATAGCATATAGCATAGTTAATATAGCATATAGCATAGTAGTCACAGCATATAGCATAGTTAATATAGCATATAGCATAGTTAATATAGCATATAGCATTATAGTCACAGCATATAGCACATAGTTAATATAGCATAGTAGTCACAGCATATAGCATAGTTAATATAGGATTTCACTCATTAGTTTCTCATTAGACTTAAATGTTTACAAAATTCTCTTAAAAATGATCTTCCAACACAACGAAACTGCACCGTGAATATGGTTTCAGGAGAGATTACGTTTGCTTTTGACGAATCACAAATACGTTTATAATTGACTTCTAACACACCCAGGACACTGCTCTCCCCGTCCTGTGTGAACAAAGTACCTTTGTTGCCTCAGCATATTAGTCATAAAGTCGTTTTGTTTTGCTTCAATTTCGTATTAATTTTACACCAAACTACAATGTTTATTTTGTTTTTTTTACTGAACCGAACAAAGTAGTTTTGTGCTGCTTTCTGTTTTATTTTCTTTAAATTTACAGCATTAACCACGTGTTTAAAATGGTTTAAAGATGTGAATGTGATCTGGGAGGAAATACATTTCTCTTGAAAAGTAAGAGGGCGCAGTTCTACTGTATGGGAACGTCATTTTACAGGAGACGGGGTTGGTCCAGATTTGTCGTGACACATGTATTTGAATGTTTCCTTAAAGTTATGGATTTATTAATCAAGGTTGCCTGTTTGGTTTGTGAACAGGAAACACATCTAACCTTAAGTCTACATAAATATGACCAGATATCAGAAGCCTGTCAGACAGCTGCAGCCTCTGCTGGCTGAGGGATTCATATCTAAATCAGAGAGAACGTTTTGTTTTGATTAATATGTTACCGTTTGTGTTTCCATGCTAACTGAATGCACACAGCAGATAGACATTGCTGATGTCCACATTGCAGAATCCATAATACTAAAAAGAAAGATGGAGGGTAAGAAAAGAGGACGGAAAGAGGCAAGAAGTGGTGGAGAGAGGTAGAGATTAAACTGTGTCTCACCCTTGTTTCTACTTGACTGAGCATTCAGCATCCTTCACCCCAGGGCTCTAGTGTGTGTGTGTGTGTGTGTGTGTGTGTGTGTGTGTGTGTAAGACTGCAAAAAAGAAACTTGAAGGTCAAAGGAAAAACTAAACACATTGATGAAAGAAGGAAGGAAGTAAAAATGTCAACAAGATTGAGGAAACGAACGACAAAGTGAAGAATCGGCATTCAAAACATCACACTTTGTCATCGCAGTACGCGTCCTCGACCAGTAGTCAAGAATGGTGCCACATCACTTCACCATGCAGGCTGCTGTCATCCAGCATTCGTAGCTATGCCTGCGAAAAGGAATGCTTTTGAAGATTTGAAGATATCCCACGAAATGATTTTGTATGTTATCCACAAGATCCTGAAGGAGGCAGTCTGAAGCCCACACAGTGCTGTCGTGAGGGGAGGTGGAACGGTCCATCAAACGGAGATCTTTCAGCCAGGAGAGCGCCGTTTGTTCAGCGTATGAAACGAGAAGTCAACGTTGATGCTTTTTCACGTAACTCGCCTACTTTGGTGAAGTCACTTCCATAGTTATTGTAACGCAAACATCAATCTTTTCCTAAACCTAACCAACTAGTTTTGCTGCCTAAACCTAACTGAGTTGTTTCCTGTGAAGACTTTTATTTTTAAATGACGTCTGCATGTAATGCATGGAAATTTACTCGTGTCGCTGGCTTTCTTGCACGAAAAATGGATATCACACGCACTGGTGAACCATGTCCACAATGAAAGGCTTAAATAAATCGCACAAATACGTCTTTTAAAAACAAAAGAAATCCATAATAATTAAATAAAATGATGTTTGAATGTTTTGAAAGGAGAAAAAAAAGTAGTGCAGTAAAAAGTGGAATATCTCCCGTAGTGAAAGTGAAGTATAAAGTAGCATGAAATAACAATACTCAAGCCGTAAGTACCTCCAACATACAGAACTCTAGTCAAAGTACATTGTTGCTTTCCACCACTGGATCAATGACCAGTAGTCGGTTTCCTCAGAAAGTACGTAACTGAGGTTTCTCTTTAACTTTCTCCTCACGGGATTCAAACCTGCGACATTGACTGTGAAAGGCCTCTGTACATGATAGATTGATCGATAATTGAGTTTGACAAAGAGTGCAGGGATTTAATCCGGAATTAATCAAACAGACACACAGAGAGAGAAAGTAAGTGTGTGTATCAATATGTATTGCCCGTGGTAACATAGATACAAACACACATTTTAATGATTTTTAAATGCCAGCATGGAGAATGGAAGTCTTGCATGCTAATAGCCACCAAACCCACACACACACACACACACACACACACACACACACACACAGTCCAGTATGTGAGTGCATCCCCGGGCTGTGGTTCCCATTAACATCCTGCACGTGCTGCAGTGTTTACCGCCCGCAGTGCCAATCAGCTGAAATGCCAGTCTGCAGCCGCTGGCAGGAGCCCGAGCCGCCGTGTCCCGCTATCGCAGTGTTTTTTTTTTCCTGTCTTCCTGCGGGAAGAAAGACGGAGAGAAACACCGAGACAATCAAGAGAGGTGGAGAGGAAGAGATAAAGAGAGAGGACAGAG